CGCAGCAGAACGCTCGTGTGCGGGAAATGCTTCAGTTAAAGGGGATAAAACGACAGGATGTGCGGAGCGCGCCCGGCTCCGACCCCGGGATGCAGGGAGCGCGCCAAGGATCGACCCTGGGCACAGAGCAGACGCGTCCCCTCGGGGACGGCTGCTGCCAACGAGGAGCCCTCTGCGCCCACCCGGGACAGCTGCACCCACCGCAGGGAAAGGAGCAGGGCCAGAAAAGCCGGACTGGGGAACGCGCCGCATCCCTCAGCTCCGACGGGCTGCAGGGGGCAGAGCCCCTCGCGCTGGGGCACGTCTCACCCAAGGCCATAAACCTCCCTGCAGCCACGAGCACGTCGCGGCTCCCCGCTGCGAGGCAGCTCAGCAAGGCCACTGCTCGGCCCCCCGACTGCACGACAAACCGCTCCACGCGAGCCACTTGCTTTAATTGGGCTGTTCTCATTTATAGCAGCAGGGCTACGTGACTCAGGAACCGTGGGCTGGATGATTCCTTGAAGACCAGCCTGAAAGAGGAGGAACGCTCTAAATACTACCAAGACAAAACAGTTAAGGGCAAAGAGCATCTAAGAACTTGCCCACTCCAAGGTCTCCGAGTCCACAGGGACTCACAGGGGCCACCTCTTCCAAAGGGACTTCCTCTACCCCAGAAAAGCCTATGGATACAGGATCAGCAAGGGGACAGGGGGCATCTTTTACCTTCAAATACATCTGGCACCTGCACAGAAGCCTCTTCCTTCAAAGGAAGAATCAGGAACTGTCTTTACCCAACTATATTTAGCGCCAAAAAAATGAAACCAAGCCATGGATTTCTCAGCATGGTGGCTAAGAAGCTCTTCGAGTATCAAATAAACATTACTGCTAAGCTGGGCTGGAAGCACAAAACTGCTTTCCTCAAAACACTCTTCACTCTTAGTACACTTGAAGCAGAGCAAGGAGCAGGAGCGCGTGTTCCCCGGCCACCCGCGAGAAGCCGGGAAGGTTTTTTCTTGCTTCTTGTTTGCGGGGAACGAGACGTTTCCAGGCTGGAAACACCACTCCTCTCCTTCCTCAAATATAACCTGGCTGCTTATACCTTTAAGTTAACTGTGCAAATCTGCTGGTGAAGATGATTTTAATTAAGAACCATGGGGTTAATAGCAGGGTCAGGCTACCTAACTGCCTTCAAAGGCACTAATTTGCCATTTAAAGTAATTGACCCTTGTAAGCAAACAGCCAAGTGCTTGACATAATGATAAAGTCATTCGGAATGAGATATGGGCCCGCTGAAACCAGGCAGTTATGAATAGGACCTACTTGGACAGGATCCCCCCAGCAAGATGCTTTCTAAAAACCTCCAGGGACTTGACAGGGAGAAGATTGACGAGCTCCAGCTACATCAACAGGGAGCAGGAAAACCCTCGCTCAGGGTCAGCGGGGCTGGAGAAGCAGCACAGAAAGTTCCACTATTCAAATGGCTTGGAGCACAGCCCTAATATAACACCCGTGTGCCCGAGGCTGCCGCTCTTACCTGAGCACCGCTACTTCCACCTCATCAACAGTATTTCTAGCCTGGTTCTGCCTTCCTTTTATCAATTGCAACAATAGAAGATAATCCCACTCTCAACCTTTTATTTTTTTTTCCCCAATAAACGATCATAATTGTAACACTTACTACAAGTTCAGGACATAAATGACCAGCAAAACTTGCATTTGGAAACGTATCAAAATCAAACGGCCAAAAGCAGCACGGGGAAGCGCCTGTGCGGATGCCGTGCAACAGGCGTTGGAGTGCCCGGCACAGGGAGAGGAGAGGAGAGGAGAGGAGCTCCCCTGCACGGAGAGGAGCAGAGAGGAGAGGAGAGCAGCTCCGCTGCGCGGGGCGCAGCACGACGGCCCCCTGCGCAGACACCGCAGGGAGCGCAGCGCGGGGCCTGCGGCCTTCCCCGCCGCGGAGCGATGCAACCGGAGAGGGGAACAGCCCCAGAACCCACAGCGAAAGCACAGCCAGGAACACCGCCAACCGGAGAGGAGAACAGCTCCAGAACCTACAGCGAAAGCACAGCCAGGAACACCGCCAACCGGAGAGGAGAACAGCTCCAGAACCTACAGCGAAAGCACAGCCAGGAACACCGCCAACCGGAGAGGAGAACAGCTCCAGAACCTACAGCGAAAGCACAGCCAGGAACACCGGCAACCGGAGAGGGGAACAGCTCCAGAACCTACAGCGAAAGCACAGCCAGGAACACCGGCAACCGGACACAGCAACAACCCCAGAACCCACAGGGAAAGCACAGCCAGGAACACCGCCCCACCTGGGCGTCCCCTCCTCAGCTCCTTCCACGAGGAAGCTGAATGGTCTTATGTGCCAGGGAATGAATGTTAAACTGCATTATTAAAAAATAATAATAATTAAAAAAAAAAACGGTGTTCTTGCTCCTTGGAGAAGCAGTGCGGGGATGGTGGGACAATTAAAAAAAACAAAAAACCCTCCAGGCCTTCAAAAGCATTCTAGCACGTTTTTAACAACTACAGGTGCAAAGCTCCTGCCTCCACTATAAGATTCCCCCGGGAAGTCCCAGGGCCAGCGTAAGGACCGGTGCCACAGCATGGCCCAGTCGTTGTGGAAGGAGCTGGGGAGGAAAAGCCTGTCCCAACAGGACAGTGTCACGGATGTTCATGCACGTAGAACGCGGCCACGCGAACGCGGAGCTGGCGCAGAGCAGGAGGTTTCGATCTCTCCCTCCTGCACGTTATTTGCAACTGTTGGAGGTGCGGGCTGAACTTAAACGAAGCTCAGACACGCTCTGAGAGCGCAACCGCCACTCTGATCCAGCAGCCGTCCTCCTCCGATGCACACGGAGCCACAATACCGGGAAGTTAAAACCAATTCCTGTCGCCTTTCCTTAGTGCCCCAAGACGAGGGTATGAAACAGCAAAACAGACACTTCACCAGGGCAAGAGCAACAGGGTCGTTAGAGCATTGAGTGGGACCCGGGGAACCGGCACGCGGGCAGGCCCGAGGCACAGCCCAGCGGAGCAGGGAACACCTCGACTGACAGTCTGAGCATGGACACTGTCACTGAAGCGGTCACGCGTCCTGTGGGGTTGAGTTTCGGCTTTTCTTTAAAGGGATCCTGGGAAGCTAGAAGAGCACTTAGGAGAAGTAAGCGCAGCAGACTGGGCTAGAAAGGTGCTTTCCATGCTGGAAACCACCCTGCGTCTCACACTGAAGAGCTGCCACCTGCACCTCGTCCGAAGTCATGCCCACAGAGCTGCCAACACCGGGGCTCCCAAGGCCTGCGTGCTTGGGTACGGCGCAAAACCCCGGCACGGCTGCACCGCAGCAACCGCTGCCCGCGCTGCACCAGGGGACACGCGGCCCCAC